CCTTTGTTACGGGAGAGAGGGCGGGTTGGAGCGGGGACCGTTCCCGCTCTGATACCAGTGTGACGGACCCGCCGGGATGGCGGTCTGTCAGGATCAACACGGTGGGTGGAGGAAGGAGGAGATGAAGATGGATATGGAAGGGACAACACAGTTTCGGCGCAGACTCAACACCCACGTACTCCAAAATGTGCAAACACAGAATGAACTAGAATACAAACTGCAGTTGGGGTATACCCCTAGCAAACTGATTGGACTGGACTGGACTGGCCTCGTACCGACAGTGGTATTGGGCAGGGCTGGACCGGACTGAAACAGTACACTACTTGTGGGTTCATGCCACGGCCTGGTCCCACAGGCCGAACTGGCAAATAGCCGAATAGGCCCTGGCTGTAGGCCAGGGCAGATGGAGGCCCGCTGCAGCGAAACTGCATTGATACTACATCAACCGAGGACCAAAGTACTGCATCCGAATGCCGGTGAGAGCATACTCTCTCCTCCACTGGCATACGAATCCAGAGTCCTTCCTTCTACTTGGTGCTCTGTGCCCAGACTATCATCACATATCTAGTATCATCCTACGAATCGATAATGCAATTGTTGAAGTCAACATCAGAATCAAAGTATATGATGAAGCCGATCCCGTAGACCATTGCCAAGACTAGGTACATGTTGATCCGTGTGACCTTGAACCGTAGGTCTATAGATCAGAGGTCTTAGTAGTGGTAGGAGTCGTAGCTTCTACAGTGTAGAAAGGTCAAGTACACAGTCATCTGGAAGATCCGGAACTAGCCCTTCGTGAGTTCTAGGATGCAGTCTGTAGGCAAGTGGCAGTCCTACCGAGTCCAATCAGCGGTACCGAGTCCCAGTCACACTTTGTCAAGTCAACAAGTACCATGTGGGACTGTGCGCACCCCGTGCCCGACATTCAAGGGTAGACTTTTGGCGATCTGAAGTATAAATCAAGAGGCAGCGTTCAGACATTCATCATTTTGCATTTGAGTCATGTGAAAGCGCTGCCTGTGTGTTTTGTGCTACGGAGGTTTGCAGGTGCCCGAAGAGGAAATGGGCTAAGACGAAGAAGATGCAGCCATAGCCACCTATTTTAGTGATAGGCAGTAGACAGCAACCATAACCATCAGTTGGCTTAGTTATAGTGTGTGTGTACGTATGAGTGTGTTGTGCTTGTGTGTGAGGGATATCCAGGGAGATCTGGGGTGTGGGTGCGAACAAGTTGTTGGGAGTACAATGATTGGTCATAGGACTCATAGCTGATCAAGACATGTTTGAATCTGATCTGTGTTTCTTGGCTTCATTATCTTTGAGCTGTGTGTGGGTGCAAGTTGCCAGCTTATTCTTCATCTGTTTGCATGCATGCTGGATGTTGAAGTAGATAAGTCTGATTACAATAATAATAATAATAATAATAATAATAATAATAATAATAATAATAATAATAAAATTTAAAAATAATAATATAATAACAAGAATGATAATAACGACAAACATAAGGAAAATTAACATATACAAGTTATCTTTCCGGTTCGATATAATCAAAATGAGTATGCACTGTATTCGGGGTCGACGACCAGTATCTTCCCCCTGTTTTGTTTTGTTTTTTTAGATTCCCGAACCGGTTTCACACGGGCACACACGCACACTTGCACACGCTTGCTTGCTTCATCACACACACTGCCTCGACTAACCTGCGTGTGTCACTTGTGCATGCATGCACCTTTCTCACGAGTTTGCCTCACTGCGCTCACCTTTGTCACAACGCCTCCCCTCTTCTCACGCAGGTCTTTCTGTGTCGTAAGCTTCCTATCAGCCTCGCGCTTTCCAAGCAAGCACGCCTTACTGCTACTGTCGTCTCGTCATTTGCGCACTCTTTTCTGCACATGCGCCTGCTTCTCATGTGCGTGCGCCAAACAATCTACTGCGTGCTTATCTTCTTTACGTGTTGCTTACCTCCTCCCATAGCTTTGTTCTCCCCCATGGGGCCTACCTTCCAGCACGCGCCTTCCTTCTCGTTGCACACTTCTCCTTTGCCCGACTGCTCTCCGTTCCTGCTGCGCATATTTGTCATCGCACGGACTTAGCTCCAGCATGCCCACTTCGGTCGTGCACGTGTGCTTTTTCCTCATCGACACACTGGTTCCATCCACATGCACGCCACTCTCGTGAAGATAACGAGAGTTCGTCTCCGATACTATTTAAACGATCTGTATTACAGATCGACCAAGATCCATGATGCAACCGCAAAATCTACATGATGTAAACACACAGAGAACATAACTACAACTTGAAACGATTTACACTGGTTTCTTAAGATTGTGGCTATGAAAGCCAGCACAATAACAAAAGTTAAAATTTTCTCTCTCTTCTTTCGCCCTCCCTACCACTACTACTAACTACTTCGCCCAGATTTTGTGATCGCTCTCTGAATGTACTCGTTGCCCTCTCTCTCTCTCTCTCTCTCTCTCTCTCTCTCTCTCTCTCTCTCTCTCACACACACACACACACACACACACACACCTGTCTCTTATACACATCTAGATGTGTATAAGAGACAGCACACACACCCACACACACACACGCGCGGGCGAGTGTGGCAATGTATATTTTCATGTTCTAGCGGTAGATCCATACGATTATGATCATCCTACCAGTGGAAGTACAGGGAAGCGAGCCGCAAAATTAGAGACTTCCCTGTTTCTTTTTCCCACTCTCTCGCAAATGATTCGTCACATTGCGCAGCGTACCAGCGCATATTCCAACGATTCGGGAATGCAACGAGCGCAACCTCACGGCATCGTCGGAGGTTGCATCACACCTCCCGCAAGTCTCCACCCTCGCATATGGTAAGTAGCGGACTCAGGCCTGCTTCGTATCCCTCTTCCCTCCTCTCATTTCCCCCTTCTTCTTCTTCTTCCTCGTCTTCCTCGTCTCCTTCTTTTTCTCTTCCTTCTTCCTTATTGATCTTCTTTTCCTTCTTTGTGCGCCTTTATGAGTGCGGTTATGAAAACAACACCACGGCAAAGTTGCAACCGCTCTGCCCGAAACTTTTGACAAGAGCGAGGGTGAGAGCAACGATCCACAAGTCGGCACCACCTCATAGGAAAGCCTCGACAGTCGCTGCATAGTATTCTGGCGACCACCGAAAAATGACTCGCTCGTCCCTCGCAGACTGAAACTCACCCAAAACATGCACAAAGAGTCTCTTATAACTCAAGTATAAGGTCCCACGACCCACGCCTGGAACGTCGCCATCATCGATTGGAAGAGGGAAGGTAAGTCGCCTCTTCCCTTTTTTTCTTTTTCTTCTTCTTCTTCTTCTTCTTCTTCTTCTTCTTCTTCTTCTCTTCCTGGCAAGTGTCCTTCTTCTTTTTGGGGCCTCGTTAGACACTCCTTGTGGACCCGAAATCCACCAGGAAATTATCGTTCCACCTGTCCTTGGGGACGATTCTCGAAAAAAAAAGTGAAAACACCAGAAGGAGATTTCCTTGTGGCGTCCTTGTGGCCACGACCATTTTTTCCTAACCCCCAAGGGACCTCCCGAGGTCCCTCAGAGCACAAGGAAGCGCGAAATTTGGAGCGACGAAGGCATGCGTCGATGCACAATTTCGGTTCGAGGGTGGTCCAGGCGTGGTCCAACGAATGGGAGCACGGACATCCCTGCGTCCGAAATCTGCACGGCGCCCCAATGACTCCAAACGGTAACCGGAGGCGTGAGGCCTCCGTCCGTCGACGTGAATTGCCGGCTAGCGTCCTGCGGTCTGCTGCGGCGGGCGATCGTCGACAACGGTCCGGAATTCGAATACTTTTCCCACACGGCGCCCCTTTCGACGACGACAGTCTCATTCGACAAGATCGTCGTTTTCTTCAATTGTCGTCACGCGTCGCACGTTGGAGCACAGATCTTCCACCGATCTATCTCGTCGTCGTGCTGCTTCTCGTCGTTGTCTTCTTCCACTTGTGTTTCGTCAGCCTCATCCCGCTCGCGGCTCGCAGAAGGAGATCTTCGAAGAAAGCCGACAAGATGGATCGACAATTGGCGAACGACAGACCGGCAGGCACAACCTCCGGAGCGAGCAATCGGCAACGCAGTGCGGGGTCTGTGGAGAAGCACCCGTACGACCCGAGGTTGTATGCACACCTGCCTTCACACGAGATTCCTCTGCCGCCGTCGGATGACGAGGGGGGCGACGCCAAGTCGTCGACTTTGCCGTTGGGAAGTGGTTCGACGCAGGAATGGGCGGCGACGCAGTCGTCCGGCGGCAGGCGGGTGGAGACCCCGTGGTCTTACACCTCACTGCTGAACGAGGGGCTGTGAAACGACGACAACAATGCAGCGGTTGATCTCGACTTCCAGTTGTCCAGCAGCAGCGGAGCAGCAGCAACGCACACTCGGATCATCAATCCCCACCCGGGTGGGGATTGCGTGGACAACACACACGGTGGTGTGTGCGGGCCGTGAGACGGCAGTCTGCCTCAATCGCTTCACGAAGGTGGTGGTAATCGGAATGACTCGTCGACGACCGTCGGAGGAGGAGTCGGTGCGCGCGAACGTCCGGAGTGGATGCGCTTGTCACCTGCGTCGCGAAGTGGATCCGACACTCCTCAAGGACGGTAGCGTCCGAAGGATTTGCGTGAGGGAGGTGCAGACGTGCAACGCGACAGCAGGCAGCTATAGGCAGAGTGCAGGCAGGCCTTGCATCAAGGTGAAATGGAGACAATCACGAGAGGGGTGCAACGACTCTACGTGGACGAAGGGGACAAAGCAGCTGTTGAGGAGGCCCAGGGGTGTGATGACGTTAACGGTGATGTCGATTGCAACTCCGACGATTTGCCAGCCATTAGGCCGCTTGGTAGGAAGGCGACGAATGGCGGAGCGAGTGCGAAGAAGGGTCCCGCTACGAAAACTCGACGGAGCAAGAAAATGGATGACGACACAAGACGGAGCGATGGCGAGGGCGGCTGAAATTTCTGGTCAGTGGCAGACACGATCGCACTCATCAGGGCAAAAAGGGATCAAGATCTGTATATCGCCGGCATGGGCACCAGTTTCGCCCGCATGAAAACGAGGGAGTGGAAGTGGGAGGACGTGCGGGCGAGGTTGCAGACGATGGGCGTGACGAGGGAGGCCGTCGACTGCAGGAAGAAATGGGACAACTTGATGCAGCAATTCAAGAAGGTTCACAAGTTCCAGAACCTCTCCGGCGGGAAGGACTACTTCAAGCTTGCTTCAAAGGCCAGGCGATCGGAGGGCTTCAGCTTCGTCATGGACCGGAGCGTGCACGACGAAATGGAGGCCATGACGAAGGGGGATCACACGATCCACCCGAAAAATTTGGCGGTCACGGGGGCGGCTGGGGGGGTTCATATGCCGGCAGGCGCGGGGGCCGGAGGGGACACCATGGGCAGTGAGGGTGGAGGGGAGGCAACCGACGAGGAGCAGGGGTCGACGAAAGACTCCACATTCAGCGCGGGGAGCGGCTACGGTTATGGGAAGAGGAAGAACATGCGGCAACAAACCTTTGAGGCCGTCGCCGAGGTCATGGACATACATGGTGCGCTCATGGCGAGCACAATGGACAGCACGAGCAAGCGACAATGCTCAATGATGTTACGTTAGTGCGAAATCCTAGAGAGCAAAGTGGAAGTGCAAGTTAAACATTATGTTGCGGCGGATGTGGCGAACAGAATAATGTGCAACGCCCTTATGGAGATAGCGAAAGCCATCCACGAGAGATCATGAGCGATGCTGCCAGTAATGTCCACCGTTGCTTTAGTGGCCTGTCTCTCCACGCGTTGCGCCTGCGAAGATGGCGACCTGTGTGTGTGTGTGTGTGTGTGTGTGTGTGTGTGTGTGTGTGCGTGTCTGTGTGTGTGTGTGCGTGTGTGTGTGTGTGTCGTCGGCAAATGCTTAGCAGTACCTTTTTTAGATTTTTTTTTTTTTTGAGTTGTTGCACTTCGTCTTCCAGGAGAGTAGTATGTGCTACATTTGAGGTCTCCACAGCTAGAGGGCCACGTGTTGAAGGGGTTATGTGGGTCGAGGATTGTGGTGGACGGGGGTGTCACCGTTCGTGTCCACGACATTGCGAGCCGGGGGGGTGTGTGGGGGTTGTTTTTTTTTTAAGACATTCATATCGGCCTCTGGAGAGTGTATGGACGCGCGTCCACAGAGGCGCCGAAGGGTCTGTAGGCGCCTCGGGGAAGGTGGTCATGGCAACGGATGAAGGGCGTGTGCGTGAAGGAGGTCTGGAGAGTTGTTGTCACACGTGTCGCTGTCGACGACAACGGCAAGCGAAGAATCGAGGTTGGGGCCCGTCCGTCTGCTCCATGCTTTCGATGCGGCTGTGCCTCCTCCCGCATAAAGGTCGCCCGCTTGCGGCTTCTACAGCACTGAAGGTCAGCGCACACGGTGCACAACGACGACATCCACGAGGGACGCCCTCTGCCTTTTCTCGCCGTCGCACCGCACAACGATCACGTGGTCGCCCGTTTCTTCGCACTCCTCCTCGTCAGGGACTTCTTCAGTATCGTCGTCGATCATCGCTGTGGATCTTGTCGCTTTGTCGTGACGTCGATATTCCGTGCCATGTAAAGTGCTCTCATTTGCCACGCGTACGTCTGCAGACACGTGGACAGACGGCGCGGCCGCGGACTTCAGCATCGCCCCGGATCAATATCGCCCCTTCGGAGGTCCGGCATCCTTTAGTCGCGAAGATCTTCTTCTTGCCGCGGAGCAGTGTTCGCAGGGTTCATCTCCTTCTCGCGTTCGCGTCGAGGTCGAGCTTGTGTGTGCGGCGAGGGCGGGCACCTCTCTCTTTGTCGCCGCGGATCTCTCTCGCCACGCAGGGGTTCGCCGTCGTCTGTGTCGTCTTCTTCTCGCCGAGACCAGTCTCGCTGGTGTCACCCAAGAACTTCGGTACACGTGGACGCATTGCTCCCCAGCACGGCAAAGGCGCTTGTTCGTCGTCGGTGCGAACGCCGACGAAGAATCGAACAGCCATTGACGGAAGCAGGAAGCATGTCTGAGCGAGGCAGCGCCCGTGGCAAGAAGCGGGAAAACATCCCTGCAGACACTCAGGGGCGGGAAAGGGGTCGGCGGCATGTCCCCGAGGCGAAAGGGCTACGTTCGGAAGAAGCATTACCAAGCCTGCCTCTTCGGCGAGGGCGAAGTTGGGCGACAACTAACGAAGAGGAAGACGACAACGTGTTCATGACGGAGGAGGAAGCAGCAGAGGACACCGTGTCGGCGCCTCGGGGAAGCAGTCTTCAACGCTCATCTGATCAGAGCGCTGCGAGGAGATTGTTGACGCCCCCTCTGAAGGCGCAACAAGTGCGTGCCCACAACAGGAGGTTGTCATCGACGTCGGCGACGAGGACGACGAGCCCTTGGAAAGCCATAGGAAGCGCAATGTCACACAAGGCGCCACGGCGACGACAATCAGGATACGCGGCGCGACTGAAGAAAGGCCACCTCAGGGTGGCCTACCCTCCACGTTGTCCCAGCCCCGTCCGTGCAACACGGCTGCAAAGGGAGGCTCCATGGAACGCGGGGGAGGGGAGGGGGCCCAGCAAGAAGAGCGCGTGGCGAGTGGGGTGGTGATCGCTGGTGCAACTGCCGGGTCTTCGAGCAATGTTGCTGCCGTGGCGAGGGCGAGAGAGGAGCTCGCTGTTGTGGAGCGGGAGGTGACGCGCGGCGACAACAAGGGTGAAAGAGAGGACGAGGACCGCCTTTTAAGCCGGGTTCGGAGGGGAGGGATGGCGAAAGATGTCGCCGAGTGTGACCGCCTGTGGGTTGATGACAAAGCGTTCTGGACGACGGGGGAGGGGCGAAGATTGTACAACATCGTCCACGAAACACGGGAGTACTTTGTCGCCATCGCCAGCGGGCTGCCAGCGCCCACCGTGTCCAGGAGTGTCGTCATGCCGAAATCCGCCACGACCCTGACAAGGATTGCAGATCCCTCACGACTGCAGCAGGCGATCTTCCGCGCGACGACAACGGAGAATATTTCTCTGCGCGTCTTGCACAGATGGGTCTTCAAGTCCGGGAACCGCCCCCGAGGATACAATCTCGCTTTCCAGTACGCGCTGGAGTCGGTGGCGACGGACATTGCGTGCGTCATGTGGTATGGCGAGGAGTGGAGCAACGTCGTGAGCGCGGCCGTTTGCGTGCACACAATCGACCTTAACATGGACTTGCCACTGTGGTTTGCGGCCGCGAACATCGAGGACAGGCCAGAGGACGACGACATGGCGGCGCACCAAGAGTCGACCGTTATATGCATCTCGCATGCATGTCGCGTCGCGTTGCAAATGGGTGGCAACGTCAACGACGAGTTCATCTCGCACGATCTTCTGTCAAGGATTGTGGATTGCTTCAGGCTTTTGTGGCTGCCGGTATGTGGTTGATGCACATGGCGGGAGACGATCCGCGCAGCCACTACGAAGCCTTTTACTTCGCAAAGCTGGTCGTGAAGCCCACGCTCGTCGCATCCATGTGTCGCGCCTTCGATCATCGATGGTCTGTCATCCGGGCCACGAACGCCGTCACGGAGAGACTAGGGAAGGCGAACGCCACCTTCGGAGAGTACCCGAAGTACATCCCCGACTGGGCTTCCTGCGACATCGTCTTCGGGCACGATGCGAGCATAGCGGGGCCCGAGCACGCGAAGAGGAGGGATTGGTTGGGTTCGGGGCCCTTAGAGGACGACGACGACGACGATGGAAAAAATGACACGTAGGGGGGAGGTGGGGGGGGAGAGGGTGTTGCTGCTGCTGACACATGCAGGGCGGGAGAGGGTAGGTGAACTGGTCGCATGTGCCGGTGGGGGTTAGGGAAGTGGAGAGGGGGGAGCGCTTGGCGGCATCCGAGATGCAGGTTTGGTGGCGGCGAGTCAGGAAAACGGATAGTTGATGGCATCTCCCTTCGTTCCGCACGTGTACAGCGTGTCGCTCGTGCTTGTAGACGCCCAACGTTTCCGGTCGTCCACTCTGACAGGGTGCTTGATGCAACTGCGGTCGTGGTTGCTTGTGGATGCGGATGGTGTTTGGCTGCTGATACTGGAGAAGCGACGGTAGACGGCGCTCTCTTCAGCGGATTGTAGTAGCGGAGTAGGTTTCTGCGATCTTCTTTTGTGTTGTTGTCGGCGCAGCTTGCGGCGAGACAAGTTGATTGCGCTTGGAGCGCACCTTTTTTTATATAATTTCGATTCACAAGGAGATTTCGTCAGTTTGCAGATCATGAGTGAACACTCATTCCACACCGAGTGGTCCTTGCCTTGTTGGATGTACATTCACACGTCTCATCTTCATTTGCATGTGCCATTGTCGGTCGTTGCTTTGTTTGTTTGTTTGTTTGTTTCTCCCCCAGTTATCCCAATGGCAAACAAAAGATGTGTTTGTGTTCCAGTCCAACACTCGCAGGAAGACAAAGCGCAGCGCAGCAAACAACATGCGATGTCTGACAAAACATGTTGTGAATATGCAATGGCACACTGCATCAACGCAAAGAAATAGCAACACACAATATCGACGCAATGAAATAGGCACACACACAACGCCAACACATAATGGAAATCGACGAAACAAACTTTGAAAGGGATTTGTGATGTCGTTCAACGATTCATAGCGGAGACTTCAAAATCGAAGGCAGGTGGGGGAGAAGTTTCAGGCCCACCCGAACGACCAACAGTGCTCCATCCTCCAAACTGCACCCGCTGTGCCCAAAAATGACGCACTTCACACCCGCAGTGCGCCGTGTCCGCACTACACAACTTCAACGGCAATCACAAAATTCAAGAAAATGGATGGCGATGCACATCCACGAATCGCGACAGCAACCAAACACGACCCTCGACGCAAACTACCGACCCCGACGCAGGACAGAAGCTAGCAACCCAATCAAGGTTGGACGGAACAATGAATCTGCCCTCCGGCCATTGCTACAATGAACGCACTTCCACGCGCTGCCGTCCACCATGGGGAACACGACCCTCCACGCAAACCACCAACTCCGACGGGGTACAGACGATAGCGACCCAATCAAGGCATGATGGAACAAGGAATCTGCCCTCCCCCCATTGTTGCAATGAATGCACTTCCATGCGCTGCCATCCACGAATGAAACACGACTCGATCGTGTTTCACTCGTTCCACCAAAGCATTCCTCAGGGCCAATGCTTTGTATGTCGACGTCATCATTGACACAGGCTGGAGGGGCTCTTCGATCCCCAAGTCCACACGTCGTCGCACACCATTAGCGCCAACCTCCCATAGCAGATTGTCGTCGGAGGGGATTCCTGCGTCGATCAGTATGTTGTGCAGTATGCACACGGCGATGAACTGCTACATGAGCGTGTCCAAGTTTGTCTTGTGTGTCCGCAGAAACAACTGCCACTTGTCCTTCAGCCTGCCAAACGCCCTCTCCACCGCTCCCCTCGCCACCTTCTGCTTGTTGTCAAACCGCTCCTCGTCGACGTGATGATTGATGCCTCCATACGGGACGACCATCCATTCCGAAGGGGGGTAGCCATTGTCCGCCAGAACGTACCCGTTCGTCTTCACACTGAACGGCAGTGTCACGGGGGGACCACGGAACAACGACCCCTCCTCTGCGCGCAGCGACAGGCTGGACAACTGCAGCACCCTGATGTCGTGGCAGCTACCTGGGCATCCCATGTGCACGTCGAGCACACGCAAGTCCAGGTCGACGACAACCTGCGCAACAATGGAGAAACGGCGCTTGCTGTCGTAGTAGTTTTCGCTCGGAGCGTTCGCCGGCTTGTCGACGTCGATGTGAGTACAATCAATGCAACTGTGGCAGTTGGGGAACCCTTTATCAGCAAACGCCCGCAGAACGACGAGTTTACGAACTCCTGTCGGCCACACGATCTTCTCTTCGAATACCCTTAGCAGCACGTCAGTAACGTCGCGGACGGCAATCAGCTCAGAAGCTCGTCCAATCCCGAAGTTGCACGTGCTGCTCTCGTACGTCTCCCCTGAAGCCCACCTGTACAGTGCGTACGCCACAATCTGGTCCGGCTGCAAAGGCTCCCTGTAGAACGTGACCCGCCGCTGAAGATAAGGCGCACACGCCTCCACGATTTCCTGGAACACTCGCGGCGACATTCGCAGCTTATCCCGAAAGTAGTCGTCTGTCGTGGCGTCTCATTGCCTGAGGTCTTCCCACGTGCCTCCTGTCCTGCGCTTCACCCACCATGGAGGCGTCGCACGAGGTATCACTCCGCAACCCAACGCGTAGCACAGCTGAACAACAGCCTCCGACGTCGCCACGTTTTCGACCCCATCGTACGGATCTTGCGTCAATGTCCTCCGTCTACGCGCGTGGAACTGCTCCTTCAGTCGCCCCAGCGCCCTCTCCTGCTGGCATCGAAGAACGATCGTGGACACGGTCGCCACCACGGCCTGCAGCTCACGAGGAGTCAACACATCATGTCTACCCTCTGCGCCGGCCTCCATAGCCGCGACGTGGACACGGTCCCATCGTTCCGCTGCTGTCTGTGTCGTCCTTCCGCATCCGACGAAGAAGCCGAAGACATTCGTCGAAAGGTGGCCCCTTTTCTCTGCTTACAGTCCCGCACACGGAAACGAGGAGCAACGCTCAGTCTGCGTGTGCAAAGGTCCACGGCGATGGAAGCACCACACGCTGCCCGCGCAGTCGCAACGGCTTCGGGACGGAACCTCCGCTGCCGCTGAGCCTCTTTCCGCAGCACGCCGCCCTCGCGCCGCCAGCCACACGTCGTCGTCGTCGTCGCAGCAGTCATTCGAATTTCGAATTTCAAATGCCCACGCCCTTGGGGTGAAATTTCTTTTCGCGTCGCCCGTCGTGTGCCGTTTCCTGCCTCGCATCGCTGGACCACGCCGCCTCCACACGGACAAAAGAAGTTGGACCCCGCGATCGCTAATTTACGTATGACAACGGTCGCGGGGAAGCCACAAGGAAATATCCTCGGGGGAGGTCCCCAAGGATGAGTGGAACGACGCCGCAAATTCCCCTAAAAAAACACAAGGACATTTCCTTGTGGCTCAAGGAAACCGTAAGGAGTGTCTAACGAGGCCCTTTATCTACTTCCTTTCTCCGCGCACCCCTTCCTTTACTCGCGAGCCCGTTTTTTTCCCTTCGTGCTCGCTTCCCGGTTTTACGCATCCTCATTTCCCTCATAGTTCTTAAATAATTCCCTCACCACGGTCTGCTCCTCCGCACGGGCGATCTCCGTCATGCTGCATGGTACCTAGCACGATTGAGATCGTGGCGGGGTTTTCTCCTTCTCTTCTGCGAAGGCAAATCCTCTTTTTTGTAAACAGAATCCGCCCTGGTTTCAAAGGCAGATTCATTCAACTGAAACTATCAAGAATAAGGGTCTGATCCCACACTACTTACGGTAAGTAAAAATATGAGTTTCGGGGAGTCCCACTTCTTTCTGTATGAGCAGGTCACGGAGTAGCTGGTGGGAGGGTGTGGAAACAGTTTCTATCGTGGCAGTTCGGGAGTGATCGCCGGCCCAAGAATCTGTCCCATTTTTCAAGAGAAGCCAACCCGTACCCTAGCGCTAAAAAGTTGGAGCAGCTTTTTGTTATTGTTTTTTTGTTTTTTTTTCCGTCACTCCCTCCTTTCCTCAGGTGATCCGCCACCCTCCCACATTATTGCGCTGCGAAGCCTGTAAAAGGGTCATTCTTTTCGGAGTTGTGGGATGCGATTTTCCTTTCACAGTTCGATAGGAGCGGGCCTGACTTTTCTGTTACTTTTACGACTTTTTCGTAAAAGAGACCAGTGGGATCAGACCCTAACTACGGGATCGAAGAAAATTTATACTACTAAATAATAAGAAAAGAAAGAAAATGAATCTGACAATTCAAAAGAAAAAGGAAAATAATCTAACTACTATCTACCCCGTAGTGCCAACTGTCGAGCAGACAAACTAACTATAACTACTCGTAGCACTAAGGTCGCGGGTTCAAGTCCCTGCCGCACGAGGTCGAGGTTAAAGCGCGACCCCCTTATATCAAATGGGCTAGCTCATGAGCACAACTGGGCAAATTCGATTCGTATATCTCCTATTTGACAATCTACCCCAAAACTGACCGAGCTAGCACACACTTCAGATAAAAGTGGAGCAGCCCAAACCTATGTAGAGTGTTGGGGCTCAACCAACCTAGTAGCCTGAGCCCGTTTCTGAGTTTGTGTTTGTGCACGCTTGCCAGTCTGTGTACCTGTCTCAGTGATTGTTAGCTTGAGTGTGTGTGTGTCCCTCAAGGGCACTTGGTTGATCGGATGGCCCGAAGGGCTGGTATTTACCCGCAGCCGTGACATTGAGGGTTGAGGCGGGGAAAACACTCGAGTGGCGGGGAAAGAGGGTCGCCATACTTAAGAGCAGCTGAAAACGCTCTCAAGTAGTAGGTAGACCAATACCACACCAAGTAAGGTTAGACGTGTCGGGTACTCAAGGTCGAGCAGGAGAAAATAAAAGTTGGCATTTTTAGAGGCCCAGTACCAGTAGATAGGCAGGTACGAGGTCGGGTAGCCTGAATCTAAACCCTGTGCGGACGATATCAGAGTTTGCAACAGTGTCTCCCCCTGCAAAGGGACAAAGGCACCGGTTGCTTGGGTGGTCGCGTGGACACAAAGTCGCCACTTGAGAGGTGACTTCCTCTTTACATATGGGAGCCGGAGTTGGAGCCTTAACCCCACTCATGGCATACGAGGAAAGACAAAGGTACTGATTGTCGTTACCTATTATGGTGCGCAGTGTGTTTCTCTTGGTTGCCCCGGCCGCACGACCGGGGTTATATTAATTTTTCAGTCGTCTTTAGTTTTTACGATGATGCGACCTACTGACTTTTCTATATCGGTCGGTCTGTCGCCCCTTGGCTCGTTCTAATTCATTTTTTCCTTACCGCCTGAGACTTTGACTAATTTAGATCGTGGTTGCCACATTTCGCGTGACCTCTTCGAGTTTTCTTATAACCCTCCGGGCCTTATGGGTGAAGACTTTTAACTTTGATTAACCCTTACCTATTTTCGTGCACGTCGTATCACTGCATAATGCCACCTAGAAACCTCGGCCTCAGTGGTCGAGGAGTTTGCTTCACGACGCCATGCCAAAAAATTCTTACTTTTTACTCCAGACCGTCCTCGACAAAGTAACCAGCGTCGATACTGTATCGAATGCAAAATCATGAGGAAATACCCTTGTAAGGGTGTTTGCTCCGACACCGCCTTAATGGTCTATCTGTTAGGGTCATTGGTTTTGCTTCGCTACCACTCCTTCACCCTGAGTGTGATGACCTTCTCACCATCGTGTGTGACTGCCCTTATAAGTTTTGATTCTTAGGGTGCATTCACCCCCTCTGAGACCATCCCACTCCTAGTGGTTCAGCGACACGACATTACGCTGTGACATGTTGTTCTCTTTTTCTTTCAGCACTAAGGCAATTGCCTCCCGTATTTTAAGATGTATCTTGCTACATTTCATTTTCTGTTGTTATTTAGAATGTATATACCAAACATTTGTTTTTCATTTGACATTATGTAGCTTAGGCTGCATAACATGGACTCTGCATCCTATATTTCTCAACTCTCCTTGTTATAGAGTTCCACTGCTTTTGCGGATAGCGTGTTTATGGATTTTGCGATCCACTACAAGTCTGAGGATCGTGCAACGGACGTCTATTTGTCCTGACCTACAACCAGGGCCTATTAGGTTATTTTGCATGTTCAGCCTATTGGACCAGGCCGTGGCCTGACCCCACAGGCCGTGTGCTCATTCAGTCCAGTCAAGTCATGCCCGGTACCACTGTCGGTACCAGTCCAGTCAAATCCAGTCAAATCCAGTCCAATCCAGTGTAGCCAATCCATTGGGGGTGTACCCCAGCTGAAGTTTGTTTCAACCTCATTCTTCATTTTGCACACTTTGGAGTATGTGCCTATTGAGTCTGCGTCGGAGCTGCACTGTCCTTTCCAGCTCCATCTCCACTCTGTCACCCTCACCCCTTCGTCTCCATCCCGACGGACCGCCATCCCAGCGGGTCAGCCACATTGCGGCCTTCAACATCGGATTTTGAGCTCTGCAATGAGTGACGGCGGGACTTAATTCGAAAACGAGATCCCACTTGCATACCTTTGCCTGTCGGTTCGAAAAGACATCGAGTAGCCCGTACGGAGGTTCATAGTACTTTTGGATTAGGTAGACGTTTGAAAACTGCGCGCACACATTTCCTTTGTCGTGTGGCGATGGTTGTTTCTCGCTAACGCTGGAATCACATGGGAGATTCTAGTTTTGTCCGTGTCTCCACACTCAATTATCCAAAAATCATTGACACACCCCGTCTTGTTGTTCTTTCAGGGCCTTTTCTGCATTTTAATCACTCCGACCGGAAGACAGCATAGGGCCTGAGGTTGAACGTCGCACACCTTTTGGTGTAGCCTGGTTTCAGACCGATTCCTTTTTGGCCTGAGAATAGACAGTAGAAGTAGATATAGACATGTAGTTTTAGGGGATAGTGAAAGTTCGGCTGGTCCAACTTAGGGGGAGTCGTTGAGATTGGAAGTTGCCAATAAATAAAGATGAGTAATGCTCTCAGTAAGTTCTCTCTCGATTAAATTGTGAGGTCCACGACCTCAATCATTCTGTTATATGAACAAGTGGACCTGCTGCAGCTATGCTGAGGTGAATAACGATAACAAAACATTTTGCAGAACACCCCAACCATCAGTTGGATCCAAATTTGCAATGTGCCCCAACCGGACGCTCCCCCACTTTGCAAAATGCCTCGGCAATTGCTAAGTTTTCGCAAAAAAAAAAAAAAAAAAAAAAAAAAAACGTGTATATTTTCATGTTTTAGTGGTATACTCATTCGATTTTCCTCATCCTATCAATGAAAGTACACTCTCTCTCCCTCTCTCTCTTTCTCACTCACAAAAAAAAATAAAAATGTATATGTTCTAACGGTAGATTCATTCGATTTTGCTCATCCTATCGATGGGAGTACCCTCTCTCTTTCTCTCTCATACACACTTACACACACCCACAAAGTGAATTTTTGCATGTTCAAGTGGTAGATTCGTTAGATTTGGCTCATTGTATCGATGTAAGTACCCTCTCTCTCTCTCACACATAACAAAAATGTGTATATTTTCGTGTTCTAGCGGTAGATTGATTCAATTTTGCTCATCCTATCGACGAAACTACCCTCTCTCTCACACACACAC